GGATGAGGAGGAAGGGAGGATGGAAGGGGAGAGGGTGGAGGAGTCGGTACCTACGGGGGGATGAGGATGGGGGGCACTGGAGGAAGGAGGAGGCAGCGAGAGAGAAACCAAGGTGAGCACTCATGGTGGTGACAACAAGCCGCTCCCCAGTCACCTCGCCTGGACCCCAGCCTTGCCTGGGATGGGTCAACTGAGTCTCGGGGGGCCAGAGGCTGGATTTTCCCAGGATGGTTCGCAGAGCCGGATGCCTGAGCCCGCTGTCCTCTCCCTGCTGGGGTTCTAGTGCTCAAGCCCAAGAGGCTCCAATCCGGAGTCTGCAGCTCTGTGGGGTTCAGCCCCAGAGCCTCCTCAGCCCTCGGGGGCCAGGACTACCCTGCCCTGCCGTATGGTTCTCTGGCTATGCTTTTAATCCTATATCTGAGGCTACAACATGTCTTCGTTTCCTTGAGAAAAAAGAACCCTACGAAGGACCGCACACTTTCCCAGAGGACAGCGGCACGGTGAGAGCCCGCCGGGCCCCCGCTGATCTGCGACAGACGGATTCAAAAGCAGCACGGAGTCAGCTGGGTGCTGCAGTGGGAAAGGGAGACGGCATTAGCTGCACAGACGCCAGAGGAGCAGCCCCGGGTCTGACACTTGTGTTCCCAGGAATTTGTTGCACGATTTAAACTTGTGAGAACGGAGAGGTGGTGTCACCCTGGCTCCCTTCCTTTGCCACCAGGAAAGCTCTGGCAGGGAGAGGCTCCCGATTCACCGCAGGGATCCAAGCCCTAAGCACCAGACAGTCGAGCCGCAGACCCAGCTGTGACCCTGGAGCCACAGCACGGCCCAGCTCCGCCCTGTCCTGCCTGGCGATGGTGTGGATTGAACGCAGCAACAGCCCCAGTGGTGGAGGGAGCGAGTCTCCCACTTCCAGTGGGGCCACTGAGGCCAGAGCGGGAGAAGGTCCATCTTGGGGCTGGGTTTGTGTGCAGGGAGGCCCTAGTGACCTGTCTTCTCTGCAGGGAAAGGAGAGCTGTGACCCAGGCTTGGGCTCTCCCTTTTGTTTGATCCCTGCTGCTTGCGGGGACCCCAAAGGCTGCACCAATTTAAAGGGAGACTCCCCCTTCTGCACTCCCAAAGGTAAGAGTGGAGGTTCATTTAGAAGGAAGGAGCCAAGGTCCTGACCTCAGTGGGTTTGTCCCGCCTGGTTCGGGGCCGTGTGTGTGTCTGTGTGTGTCTGTATGTGTGTGTCTAGGAAGCACTGTTTCCTGTTTTGTCCCTGAGGTTCCCACAGCGGGTCACATCCTGGCTGAGATCGACGTACACTCAGGCGCTGAGAGTTGGCTGGGTGGTGGAGGGAGAGCTCAGGAGGAAGGCCAGAGGGGTGCCAGGTGGGCGAGGTGGGGCCCTGGGTGGAGGGAGAGACTCACGGCAAAGTAGGCGCTGTTGCCGTTGGTCCACAGCACAACGAGGTCAGCATTCTCCAACTCGCCACGGTCCGACATCCCGAACAGCAACCCTGCCTTGAGCCCACGCACGAAGAGCTGGAAGTACACGGCCTCCTGGACGTAACTGACGTTCCAGGAGAGCTCCAGCGTACCCTGGGGGTCCAGGAAGATGCGGTAGGGGAAGGGGTTCTCGGGGGGCACCGAGCCCTGCAGGGCGGCCACCAGGATGACCAGGAAGACGGCCACTGCAGTGCCGTACATGGAAGCTGCCTCGCGCACGCTGGGGCTGGGGAAGCCGGGCGCACGATGCTGGCGGCTGGGGTCGTGCATGGCCGGGCTGAGCGTGATGGCTCCACCAGGCCATTTATGCCCCGGCCCCCAGGAGGGGCTGGGTGCAGTCTGCCTGGTAATTGTGTTAGTCTGGTGGGGAATTCAATTGTCCCAGTGGCCCTCCCACCAGCCCGTGCCCCAGGGCAAGTGCTCTGCCCACACCCTCCCCTAATTGCACTAATGACACATGGACATCGTCAGGGGAAAGCGAAGTGGACCGGCTGAGGTCCGTCTGGACAGCGGCTCCCTCCGCAGCGCCTCGCAGGCTGCCGGGTCCCGCTCCTGCCCAGAGAGGCAGACCGGGTCCTGGCGGCACTCTCTGGAGTGAGCAGAGGTGGCCCGGGAGGCTGTGGACCTGGCACAGTGAGCCGCACGGTTTCCACAGTACTGGGGGTGTGGGACGATTTCAAAATAAAAATAAAACACAGTCCCCAAATAGTCTCTGTTTAGATGCTCCCCCTCGGCCTGCTGTTCCCATTTTTGCCGGCTCTGTTTCCCCACCAGTTCCAGCTGGTGCCACGGCTGCTCGAGAAGGAGTGGGCGCATTGCTGGGGGGCAGATGGGCAGGGGGTGCAGGGCTGGGGCAGGCAGAGGGGGTGGTGCTGGAGACAGACTGTAGGGAAAGGGGGGTGAGGGGTCGGCCTGCTCCTGTCTGGGCCCCCAGGCCACAACTTCCTCTCTTGAGGGCAGAGGGGCCTGGATCTGCACCCTCTCAGGCCTCTGGGCCTGACTCAGCTTGTTCATCTGGGCCTCTGCTCCAGCCCTGCCCTGTGCTTGGCCAGAATGTCAGCTCTGTCCTCTCTCTCCTCTCTCCGGCGTTAGGAACCCATGAGTGTCGTGGCCCCAGCTCCGAGTCCTCTGCTGCCTTCTGCACAGAAGTAACAGCTGTGTCCTTGCTTGCAGTGCCAGGGGAGTTCCAGCCTTCCCTGGGGGCTGTGTGGAGCTGTGGGGGTGGCCACAGCAGGGAGGGTACAGAGCCTCCTGGGGTAGCAGGTGCCACTCACACACGCAATGGCAGGACAAACCACGGGTCTCCTGGGGTAGCAGGTGCCACTCACACACGCAATGGCAGGACAGAAACCACGGGTGCTCCAGTGGGGGGTGCTGCTGGGCTGCAGCCTGGCCCACAGTGTGAGCCCTTCTGAGACCTTTTAGGGCGAATTTCCGGCCCACAGCCTCTGCCCCCAGGATGGGAGCCTGGTACCAGAGACCACTGGTTCCTCGGGCTCCCCTCAGCCAGAAAGGCCAGGAGCAAGGGCCTGGGAATGTCCCGAGCCTGGGAGGGAAAGTGAAGGCAGAGGCGCCCGGTCCTCACCTGGACACAGGACAAGACCAACAGTTGCTAGGTGCCCTGAGGAGAGAAGGTGGCGTGCGAAGCCCTAGTAAACACCAGAGTGCCAAGCACACACATTTATTTTTGAAAGGATTTAGAAGATGTGCTCCTTCTGCAGCTCAGAACCAGGCTGGAATGCTGGCTGCCTCCCGCAGTAGAGAGAAAAGATGCAGTTGATTTCAGAAGTCAGACTCCAGGGCAGGAAGCAGTGCTCAGCTCTCCTGCTCACATCCTTATCGGCGGTGACACTGCCCGCCCTGATACCTGCTGGGCATACTCAGTGCAGAGCCCGCCCGACATGGCTTCTGTGCAGGGCTGGGGTCCGGTACTCGGGGCCGGGGTGCACTGCCCTTGCCCAGCCCTGATGCTCTGCAGGATGGAGGTGAGGGTGGGCTGGGGGTGGCCACAGTGTCACTGTTACCGTATCAGGAAGTGAACCCCGCTTGTGTGGCTCAGTGCCTGGCTCTCCTCCAAGGCACTTGGACGACAGCTGACCTCATTTGGAACCGATTTCGGCGTTCTAATGAGCCCTTTGCCTCCCTTGTCTCTGATGCTGTCGGCTTTAGGGGGCTGTAACCCCCCTCCACTCCGCCACGTGAGGCCAGCTGCGGCTGACTTTCTGGCTGTGGGCGGTGACAACCACTGTGCAGCAGTTAGGGTCGGGGGCTGAGGCTGGGTGAGCCCCCAGCCCGGCAAGGCCACCCCCATAGCAAGGGCATGTGCAGAGCCGTGTCCTGCCTGCCCCAGGCCTGAGCTCTGAGGGTCCTGCAGAGGCCAGAGGACCATCACACGAGCTGACACAGCAGGTGACAGCAGTGCCGGGGTCCAGGCAGCACACTTGGGAGTGGCTGCTGTCCCCCTCATCCTGAGCAGTGGCCACAGAGGAAGGTAGAAGAGGGAAGGTGTGTCCTCCAGGGGATCTCCCTGGGGCACCCTGCTCTGAGGGTGAGGCCCAACAGGTGGCCCTGAGACTGACCGGGAGGCATTTCCCACAGCTCCATGTGCCCAGAGCTGAGGCACCAGGCAGGTGGGCACTGGGATCAGCACAGGGCCTGGCCCGGCATGTGGCAGGGAGGTGCTGACTGGCCCCAGATCTTGGCGGGGAGAGGGATGCTGGCCTAGAACGGTCAGGTACTGCTGATCAGGGTGGCACTCCATGGCTCCTGACCCATGGCAGGACTGGAGCAAGGCCTCTCCTGTCCCTGGTGGGGACAACTTCAGGCCATCCACCTCTGTGTGAGTCCCCTCTGTGCACAGATGGCGGGGTGGGCTGACCTTCCAACCTGCAAAGCTGCTGCCAGCACACACACTCACACACACTCACACAAACCGACTCACTCGTACACTCACACTCGTGCACACTCATACAGACATACACACTGGCACACTCTGGCACACACAGACACACTCACGTGATCACTCACACTCATACACACTCGCCTCTCCCAAGGCTGGTGTGCGTGTGGCTGTGGCCTGCAGGCCCCTGGGATCTAACTGCTCAACCAAAGAAAGGAGCCCTGGAGCCTAGGCCTGAGCAGTCACTGCCACGCCCAGCTTGGAGAACACAGGTGGACCTTGATCTCCGTGATGCGGAAGGGCAGCACCTGGCCACCCACCTCAGCTGGTCCCTCCACGTCTGCGTCCTGGGCTGCGGGGCCACACGCACGCAGGCGTTGGCCAGCTGGGAGGAGCGAGGTCCTGACAACCAGGTGAGGCGTGGCGCTCCCCGGCGGGAAGAACAGTGATCCTGTCCACTCACCTGCCGAATGGAGACAGACCGCGGCATGGCACATGGAGGTGCTGAGCAAGGGTTCGGTCAGCTGTGATCGTTAACGCTCTAAACTAAACGTGTGAACTTCCCGGTAGTGACAGTGAAAGCCTCTTGAATTCTGTTCTTGAAAGTAACCACTATGCATGCCGGACACACTGTCTTTCAGAGCTCTTTTTGCCTGCTTGAAGTTTTTGCAGCTGTTTGCTCTTCTCACGTTTATTGTGGGATCACATTTAGCATCTGAGCAGTCATGCGCGCACAGCTCACTGAGCGCATGCGTCTTGGGCAGCTGCCCCAGGCACCTGGGCAGGTTGTGAAGCTCCACCCGACACCAACTGCTCACACCTGCTGCCCAGCCTGGCACCACCTCCTGTTCCAAGAGGGTCCTGCGGGATTCTCACCTTCGTGACCAATCACACTCAGCTTTATGTCCTCTTGTCCACAGCTCCTCCATAAGACTGCATAACCCCTGCCACGTGGACAGCCCACCACCATGTACCCAGCCTCTGCACATGGACGCTTCCTGTGCACCCTCTTTTTGCCTTCTGGAATAATGTTGCTAAAAGCAGGGGTGTGCAGATCCCCCTTTAAGCCCTGCCTCTGTTCTGGGGGTGAGGAATCACCGGATCATACAGTGGTTCTGGCTCTGATTTTTGAGGAACCGTCTTTCTTGCCAGCCCTCTCTAATGCCACTGCCCCACTGGCTTTCCATTTGAACTTGGGCGCTGCCCCTTATCTCATGCTAGTGACAAAGGCATAGTTGTGCCCTGCGCGCCAACCTATCTACACTCAGCCTTGTGGTTCTTTGGAATAAATCCCTAGAAGTTGGGCTGTGTGGTCACAGGTGTCTGGGCCCCTGACTGAAATCAGTCCTCAGGTTCACAAGGCCTTGAGCAAGGGCACTCTGTCCCTGCTTGTTGCCACCGAAAGACAAAGCTGTCTCCAAGGAACAAACAGTGCCCTCCAGGTTGGAGGCTCTGAGCCTTGTTGATGGCCATACGAGGAGCTGGACCGGGCAGTCCCCCCTCCTGTGACAATCAAATGCATCACTTGTGTGGGCACAAATTCAATCAGGGCCACGGAGGCCCCCATCTTCCTCTCACAGATGGAGTCAGAGGAGCGAGGAGCAGTCTCCACTCCCCGGGGGCGCTGACATTCATGCCGTTAAGAGGCAGGCAGGGATCTGCGCACCTGATCCAATTTCCCACTGCTGATCAAGTTATGGAGCTTGGCCCTGGAGGCGCTGAGGAAAGGGCAGATGAGAGTAGCAGGACAGAGGCAGCTTCCGCGTGGGGCGGGCAGGTGGATGACTGGGAGCTGGCGAGGAGGACATCTTTCCGGGGGACACCTTGCCAATGCCCAGGGACAGGGGTTTCAGCAGGGCCAGCACTTCTCGGGTGTCAGTGCCACAGGCCCTGCTTGTCCCAGGGGAAGGGTGGGTGCTGGAGGGGCCAGCCGAGGCCACTGTGCGGTCCCTGGCAGTGGCCTGGACGTGGTGACACCACATAAAGGGACCCAGGGCCACTCTCCTGCCTGTTCTGGCTGACGTGAGCGCCCTGTTGGCTGCAGTCGTCTGCTGCTACTGAGCTGGTTCTGCTTGGAACGGAAGGGCCTTTTAAACCCAAGCCACTCTCAGACACGACAGAGCCTGTGCCTGGAGGTGCAGAGGGGACCCGAGGGAGCCAGAGCCGGCAGTGGGAACGCAGCTGCCTCTCTGCTGAGCTGGAGAGAGGCCCTGGGGCCTTCTGACTGCTTCCTGGTGGTAGCTCAGGATATTAAACAGATCCAGATTTTCCTCCTGATGGAGCTGCGCATCGCAGGGCCGGTGCAGCCCGCAGGACCTGCCAGTGGAGAGGGCCCACTGGGGCGAGCAGGCCTGTGGGTGCATTTAACAGCATCCAGGGTGATGTTCAAATGGCAGATGAAGCGTATGCTGAGCCCAAATCCTGGAGTGTTTGGAAAAAAAAAAAGATTTTTAAAA